AAGCAGTTTCTACACCTGGTTAAAAACAACTGTACTCCTTAGTTGTAAACGCTAGAAAGCTAGACGTAAAATAGATAATGAAGTGTTCTTCCCTCGCCTGAATGAACGCGTGATTCCCAATCAAACCCGAAGTCGCTGGCCCCCACAGGACAGAGAGAAGACCGGATCGGACGAGCAGAGCAACAGGAATGAATTAGCAAATCACACCGTTCATTATAAAGGTAAAATGGAAAGTTCGTGAATAGTATTTAAAGCGAGCGCGGAAAGCTCTGGAAAGGTTAACTTACAGCCAATAAAGGAACTTCGACCTAGCGTTCATTGGCCGCTTCTCCTGGTTAGCTCTCTGTTCGCCCCAATCAGGGCGGTTGAGTATGGATCGCCGGCAGCGGCGATGGCGTCCTGGCTTGTTCGACTCGCGTATTCCTTCCAAACAGATGGAAAACAAGAGTTTAACAGCGTCCGTAAGTAAAAACTGAGATCTAAACTTAAATGTATGAAGGAACCGTAACGCGTCACGGTGGACTCACCACAAATTTAATGTATGCACATAGTTCGGTTACATTGTCCCGTGTTTCAACAAGTGGGTTAAGTCATTGTTGTGACGCCCAGTACGCATTCACCCCACGACCGCAAGAAGAAGTCCAAGATGAGCCGGGATGAAAAGATTTTCTATTACAGCACGGCACCAGTTATATAGCTTTACAAACAAGGGCGAATCCAAGCTACTAAACGCATGAGATCCAACAGGCATGGAGAAAACACAAAATGGAACAACAAAATGAGAATCGCGAAAATTACGAGCCAATGAAGTACGGCAAAGAAAATAGTGTCTGCGGAGTTAATCCTTGGGAGTAACCTTCTGGTGAGCGACCATTAAAAACGGTGAGTAGCGTCCAATCAGTGTGGAGAAGTGATGCGTTTAAACAAATGCCAGAACAGTTGATAGTGAGAATGATACGCACCAGGAAAATAAAAACAGGTATAATAAATATGTGTCGGCTGAATAATACATCCACGTGAAAAAGCTAAGGAACGCTGAGCAAAAGAAACCAATAAAAATGTCCACAGAATGAGACGGCTGAAATTAGCTGTGAGCGATTGCGAATGAGGCTGAGGAAAAGCGGCGTGTCCAAAATGTAGCAGAGAAGCAGGTAACTGCGCAAACAAAGAAATAGGCAACTAACATAATTCATGAAACTGTGGGTTAAGTAGCCAGCTCCCTAACAGTCATGTAACGCAGTTAATGTACTACCGCACCGAGTCAAATTTTGACATGAGCCTTTTTGTAAAAACGAAGATGGCAGAATGCAGCAAAACATTTCGCGACTGGAACACACGAATAGCGACTAAGTTGCAGCGGAATTCCAACCGGCTATACTGTGTGCACAAATTTAATTTTCGCTCTCTCAGTGATGTGTTCTAGTCGAGTATTAATAATTATTACAATGATTCGTTGAAATCTTTGAGGATCTGAAACACCAATAAAATATCACTTTGCAGACGACGGTATTGTCTACTGAGAGCCGTTAGGGTCTTCACTCTAATAGGTTGGTAAAAGAGATGGTTCGAGCCCCTAATACTTTTGCTCGCCCTTCGTTATCGAGTCTCTGGAGCAGTGCGATTATGCTGTTATCAGGGCTGTATTCCGCAAGTGGACTCATGTAGGCGTTGAGCATTAGCAAAAAGAGGTGTATGGCCTACATTCAATTTAAACAGAAAAACTGTACTATCAATAGCCATAACTGTTTCGGTGCAACAAGTATGTAAAGGCAGCTACAGTTGCCCTCCTGTCGAAAATTGTGCCGATGGAAAATATGATAATATTCATTAGAACCGTACTAATTTATGAACTGAAACCGAACTATCCACAAGTTACTGGCTACTACTCTATACTGGTCGAAAAAGGTACACGTTTTTGTTCGTCGCAATCAGCCGACAATTCAGATATGTCGACCAGCTATCCGGAAAAGCACCAGACGGCCGGTTCGCCCTATTGGGGCTCATCAGTGGTGCGCATCCTTCGGTCCTCTGCGGAGGATCGAACCCATGACCGAAGGATGCGCACCACTGATGAGCCCCAATAGGGCGAACCGGCCGTCTGGTGCTTTACCGGTCAGCTGGTCGACATATCTGAATTATCGGCTGATTGCGACGAACAAAAATACTCACCAAAATCCTTCCATTGAAAAGAAATGGTACACGTTCTTACAGTAACAGTAATTAAAAACACCCGATTCGATGGCTTGTTCAAACCAAACAGCAAAGCTGGCTCTATTTGTATGGCTGTTGTAACAGCCTTCTGGTGCTAACGTTGTGGTGTGTTCTATTGCTTTTTGAAAGTAAGCCTTAATAGGGATGCGACTGTTCTACTTGCGCATGGTTTTTAAGTGATATAATTTCCGTTTCAACTATGATGCGTTGCGCTTCACGGCACTTTGGTCTTCAGGTACCCACAGCTTTATTTGAAGCTATAGTGGACATTAAGTTTATGGATCATTCTGCAACTAATAAGTAAACCAGTACCTTATTCATTGTAAAATCTCACGACACTTTGATCATCTTTCTAACAGTTGCAGTTTGAGTACCGATTGTATCTCTGTACAACACCCATTCAACATAGTAGCTAATACAAACTCACTGACCATTGTTTAATGTTGGGTCACGTCGAAATACTCTTTCCATTGGGTCCCAATTTCTCTTTGTTGTTCTTTTAGAAATAACTTCGCAAAAAACGCACTTTTACCTCAACAGGGCCTGCACCTCCGAATCCGATGCTATTAGACTTAATATCGAAACAAACCTATTTCAAAAAACACTGTTGGCCACAGACTGATTGCAACCTGAAAAATAAGCAGGTAGCTGAAGCTGTTTCATTCTTTCGGGTTCATCCTAACTAGGTAGTCATTAGTGGCCGTTTTCGAGGTTCCTTAGAGTATCGTTTTGTCACAACATTGAAAACTTTTTAAGTGTTTGTTCAATTCCGTTCAGTTGAACAACTAGGATACGGGCACCGAAACGCTGTGTATCCAGTTCCCATGGCTCACATCGACTGAATAATAACAGGTAACAACGACAATAAAATGAGGTTGAATGTGAATGGAACGTAAAGAAAGTGGAATAAAGTAGGAGACACATTAAACCAATCAAGATGCGATGAAAGTTATTAGCTAGATGCAAGAAACCGAGTGCAGGAACACCACTGACTGTGCAACTGCGCCATGTCTGATATAGTCTTCAACCAATGATGGGGACTTTCTCAAGACCCCATCCAGCCTGATAGCGTCTGTAGTCCCAGTGTGATGATGGGTTTAGTCTAAGTATTCCAAACTAGAGCTGTTGAAACTTCTAACCGTACCTTTCCACAATTTTCTGCTATCCGTCTCGCCAAGCGGAAGGCAGCTTGCCTGAAGTATCCTACATCACAGGTGCATGTAAAGTAGCACTCGATATCACTCTCTGAAGTAGAACCAACTGGTAATTCACCAGATTTCTTGGTGTGATTATGGTCTAACGACGCCACCATCGAAAACTGTCGTAAAATCACTCACATGGAGTCTTTGTTAACAGTATCACTCCATGCTCAGCACACAGCAAAAATTGAAGGCACTGCCTCTGATCCACTAGTAAAAGGTATGGATCTGTCGACGCTCCCTGAGATAGTTGAACATGTGTTTTTCATCTGGATGTTCTGTCACAACTGGATACAAGCAGCAATCTCGATCATCTTGTGGGAATGTTGCAAAATAAAAGGTCAACTTCACCAATAGTTCCAACAGTTTGCGAGCCGCGCAATTGCATCAGCAGCTAGCTACGTGTCTGAATGACATGTCATCAGTTAATATGTAAGTCAAGAGATAAGCAATATAATTAAATTATAGTAGAATGGTCAATAAACCATGCACATACTGTTCCTCACTGCATTACCCTTTACTTTTAATAGATTTCACCAACTGTTGCACCGGACACCTGCAGAATTCTTTTACTTTGTAGACATCACTTGTATCGCAATCCAATAACGTTAAAATTGAAATCTGCCAATACTTTACTAACCGAAGCTCATCCTTGTCCATAGTACTGATGCAGTTTGTTCGATGTTTACTAACCACGCGACTGTGCTCCCACCCCATAACATGCGACCAATTTAAGTAGTATTTATTATAACATAAGTTATCACCGTCCCTTATCCACGGACGGGTAACAGTCGAGCTGCGGGTTCGAGCCCTACTAAAGTCCAATGGAATGCGCACTGCGGACAATTTTCAAAAGGGATGAAATGCAAGTACAGGGCTTTCCAGGCGGGTGGTGGCTGTCTGAGTGAGTATGGATGTGGCGAATTGCTACCTATACCATTCGACTCCCTCTACTACCAAACTGTAATCAGTACGTAGACCAAACTGCTTATAATGCCATAAGTTAATTAGCGGCTTACGTTTGGTAAGTTCGTCGCTTGATGAGTGGGCTCCCGATTCGCTGCACGGCAGTAACGTTCAAGTCAGGGGATAGTGAGCGGCGCTATATCACATCTACTAACTTATTCACTAGGGTCATTGCCTTCCCCGGTAGCTCATTGGTTTCAACCACGGACTGGCAACAGTCGGATTGCGACTTCGGGCCTCAAAGGGGATATATTAAATACGTAAGGTTGACAATACCTGTAAGGAGGAAGCGGCCATACAGTACATTTCCCAGCGTGTCATAGCTGTTCGATTGAGTTTAGATATGAGGAACTTCTACTAATTTCACTAATCGCTATTTTATCAAAATTAGGTAGATCTCCCAGGTTCCCGAGATGATAGTTTACGGATCAGGCAATTCACTGGGACTGTAAATCACTAAAGAACATGAAAATGGTCTTAAGGACCAAGGTAAGGATTTTAAAAATATCACTTTTATCTATCTATAATCTGCTCATGGAATCTCTGTTTACGAATGCGAATGCAATTGTGCGAATTTTGGTCGTAGATTGAAAAGTCATTGCGATCTATTTCTTTTCTTTTCAGAGGAACAGAACGCTCACCCTTGTTTTCTAGTGAAGCTTACTTCTCCGCAACCGAGTCGAGCACATGTGGCGACTCACTGGGTGTTGTCCAACGCCACCCAGTAGATATGGAAACACATTCTCTGACCTTAGATCATCCTCAGACTCAAGCCGAACTGCAGTTAGATTTGTCGATCCCGGAAATGCAACCGGTTGATATGCAGGTGGATACAGAACTGAAGTGGGACACGGACAATTTGGAAGCTAGCACTTTCGGGCGGAGCAGTTTAATTGAAATACCGACTATGCAGCAACTCCGATTGTCCCCAATTCGCACCGATCTGATGACTACTCAACAATCTAGCCATTTAGACAGCAGTTTTCCTGAAGAGTGCGACCACGCTCAAATGTCACCTGATATGCAAAGTGCGTTCGCTCTGAACGGAATGGAGGTTAACGTATTTGAGCCGATAGACACTGCAATATCCATGGGCACAAACGACAGTCAAGTTACAGAAGAAGACTTAGAATCTGCTCCCTTTGGAGTGCCGACAGCCAAACAGCATACGAAGAGGCATAAACGTGAACATTATGAAATCGAAAGTGAGAAAGACATGAGTGAGAATGAGCAGGCAAGTCAGTCAATCGATACTGGTCAGTGGACTGTCATAAACAGGGAAAAACGCAAGCCTAGACGGAGCAAGAAAACAGTGGAGCAAAAGGAGGAAACAAGAGAAACATGCTTCGTAGAACGACAAGCGGTTGAGAAAGATGTGGAAAAGAAACATGACAAAAGCGTAGTTATTCTTGAAGATACGGATATTGGCTTGTCATCAGGAGACTCGAAAACAGAAAAACGAAGAAAAAAGAAAGACAGATCACCGAAAAGGAAGACACTTGCTTCCGAACAGGGAAATCTAACTTTTCAGCAAGCTTCTCAGATGGAACTCACTGAGTCGATGTTCGGAGATCATATCTTTTTGAAGGATCCTGTCATCACCCCATCCGAATCAGTCGTCAAAACAAAGGGAAAAAAGCAGAAGAGTAAGGAGAGAAGACGTCAACATGTTGATGACGATGTTGAGCAAATGGATCAAGTGCTTGACATTTCGCACACAGATGGCTCACCTGTGTTGGATGATTTCACACTTTCCGAGAACTACTCCATAATGGTAGAAGAGTTTCCTGTGATCCCGCAGTCGATTTCAACGAATGAAAGTTTGCCCATGGGTTGCAGCCCACAACATCGAGAGGAACATGTGTTCATTCAAGCCACTGAGTTCGAAGAAATGGTAGAGGAGGTTCAGGAGCATACTGACACGGAGGGCGACACTCACTGGGCCTCTCAAGAACTGCTTCTCCTACAAGTTGCAGAAACACAGCAACACCATATGTTGGACACACATTCAACGGAAATTGCAACTGATCAACATAAACCGCACAAACAAAAGTTAACGGCTATTGACAGAACCGATGAATTAAGCTCTAATTTTGGGAAGGCAAAAACCATTAGGTTCGCTCCTCAGATAAAGATCCATTCCGCGTCTACACCTACCACCACGAAGCAACAGAGAAGCAAAAATCTTCATGAACGGAAAGGGGAAAATGGTGCATTTTCCATCCTTGACCGAAATGAAGATGGATCAGTTAAGAAAACGCTGGTAGTTAAGCCTAGACGGCTTCCAAAGCCCCCGATGATAACGAACCGAACTGAGGCATTATCGGTGTGTCAAGTGACTGGCACAACTGAAAAGATGGAGAGCAAAGAACACTCAAAGCAAAAACCCACCAGTAACATAGAAAGCTCGCAGCCTAAAAGGAAGAATAAAGCATTAAAAGGGCAGCATCAGCCTCCACAACAGGAGAATCAAATTGGACAAATACTTCGCAATAAACAATCCAGGGAGAAAAAACGCATCACACAGAAAGCTAGGCTGAGAAGCAGAATTGAAGCAAAAGCTCACCAAAAGGAAAAAGATAGAATAAAGGAGAGGCGGAAAACCCGGTTTCCAAGATCCTTTACCGTTCAGGTAAATTGATGTTAGTGGTCCGATAAACATGTGCGGATATCCATTTTATATATTGTAACTTAAATTCATGTGCTCTTTAGATGTGGAATCGCTTTTTACCAATGTTCCTTTGCACCAAATTGTTGATTACATTTGTGAACTAGCAGAAAATTCGCCGTGTCCCCTACAGATGCCCGTTGAGCTACTAATAGACTCTTTGTTGCTGTGTACGGAGAACGTCAATTTTCATTTCAGATACACACCGTACTGTCAGATTGATGGAGTAGCGATGGGCAGTCCATTGGGCCCAGTACTCGCTGATTTCTTTATGTTAATGGTAGAGTATGTCTGGAGAAATATCTCGACTTCCACATTACAAACGTTACGTGGATGATATTTTGGCAATTTGATCATCGGAGCATCAGGTGGAGCAGTTGGTAACGCAACTAAATTCTGCGCATGACAAATTGCGGGTCACCTGTGAGGTAGAGAAGCAAAATTGCCTTCCGTACTTAGATATCCTTATCAGCCGCAGAGAAAACGTGCAGATTAAGAGGTCTGTCTACAGGAAACCAACATGGTCCGGGCAGTATCTGCATTTCACTAGCTTCACACCAATGCGATACAAGCGGACGCTCGTGAGAACCCTGATTAGCCGTGCCAGACGAATCTGCTCTGCTGATTGCCTGGCTGACGAACTGCAGTTGATTACCAACACGCTCATCGGAAACCGCTACCCCCGAAGGTTCATCGAGAAACATAGTCAAGTACGACCAAGGGACCTAGTCCACACGGTACCTAAGAAGCCTGTAATCATGGAACTGCCATTCAAAGGTGACGTCTCCTCGTTGAGGACCACAAGGCGTCTGACCTGTGCCCTGCAGACAACTTACTACGCCGCCAAGGTCGCTGTCATTAACAAAACCCAAAAAACTGCCACTTCCTTCTGTAAAAAGGGCTCAGTCTATTGGGGCTTAATCGCATTACATTTACCAATTCATTTGTGACTGTGACGCCAGTTACATAGGCAAGACCGATAGAACATTGAGTTCCCGAATGAAGAAGCATAAACCTAAGTGGATTCAAAGTTCGACCGCGCAGGAAACTGGCCAGAGTCAAGCTGCTTATCTGCGTAAGCCACCAGCCTCCTCTATCGGCCCACACTTATTGACCACAGGTCACCGAGTAGAGGTAAATTCGGCGTTCACAATCCTATTATAGCACACCAATTCTCGCCTCCTCCGTTTCGCAGAGGCGATTGCAATTAACCGGACTAAGCCGATGCTTTAAGTTCAGAAACAATTATCGGTCAGCATTAGATTGCCCTGGGGATAGGGGTGATAACCCTGTCTCACTTATCATGTGTTGGTCTGTTTGTCTGTTTGGATGTATGTTTGGTCGCACCCTCCACTGAATAAATATTATTGCGAGTTATTGTTAAGGGCACTGATGAGACAATACGAAATACGTGCATTTGCCAGTCTTCGTCTTCTTACTGCGCTTTTCAAATTACTGAAGGGAACTAACTGGTTCAAATGTTTTTGTTGAATGCGATTGACTTGGGTTCCTTAAAGGTGATCTGTGTAAGGCGGGTTTCAACCTATGAGCGTAGGTGCGTTCGTACACATTTTTACTAAACTTGGTCGCACTCTGTCGTCATTTGTTGAATGAGGCTGGCATATTCACGTTATCCGTGAGTATTGAAAAACCACGGTTTCCTTTATAGCCAGAAATTTTTACACCGAACGCGAATGTTTGAATTGTACGTACCAACTTGTTGCAAGTGGATGACCTAAGCTTAAATGGGTTGCATTCATCAAAATGTGGGTTGCCTCCCGGGGAACAAACCATAACCTCTCATATTTATGGCCAAACTATGAACAATGAACAATGCTTTATGTCGGGTACAAAAACGTTGCTTGACAAGTCCCGCAGGATGGTGGGGGTAAAACTACAATTATCAAACAATAGATGGGTTGTCTGTTTGAGCGTTTATCTAGCAGAAACGTTGCTGAATAATAGTAGTGTAGGTGGGAATTGAATGTGATTGACGTGGCAACATGGCGGCAGTTATAGCTGATATGTTACATGTGAAAAGTAAAAACAAGAATACTCACTTCTGTCCCTTATCTTCAGGTTTACGTAACATACTAATCCGCTTTGGATGAATAATTACTCTATCCCAATGTTGCCCAGTTTAGACAACGAAGTGATAAAGGCTAAGGGCAAGCTCCAACTGTCACAATAACGGTAGGGAGCAAAGATTTTGTTACAGAAATGAGATTTCACTTGCCCTATTTTCTTATCCTTTACAAATCTTCTATTCTTATCTTAACGAATACTCGACCATCCCAATTTCACCAGCTATAAATAACGATGCAATCAGATCGTTGTTGGTAATCCTTTTGAGGCAACCATGGTACTATTTGGTTAACAGAAATCAATTCCAAACTGGACGGCGCTTCCATTCGAAGTGCATCTGTTGGTCACTGGCACCGCAATCAAAAGAGATCGGTTTCGAGTGTCTACCGTTCGTACATTGTAATCCATAACCGATTTCGTAAGTAGTAACGAGCTCTAGACAGTTATTGAAGGACTGCAACTCAAGTCCTTAACGTGGGGCACGCTGACCGAAGTTTTTACCTGTCTGAGCCGGCGAATCGCCAACAACCATATCACAACGGCTACTGACTAATTGGATTGGTGTGTATTTTCAAACATTGATTGTGTGTGAATCCTCTGTAAAACCGCTGATCTCCTCGTTCTAATGTATCTCAGGGCTTTTACACCACATCAAATTGATGTGACTTTACTTGCAACCGCGGAGGATATGAGTGGCTCGGGATCATGCACACATACCAATGGGGTTTTAGAACATCAGCTGAGGATGGCTTTAAGAGTTTTGACACCAGGAGTCTTCAGTGATCCCATGTCCAGGATTCGTGACGCCTCCTGTGACAGAGTCAATTTAAGCGCGTAATCACAGCAAAAATGTGACGGCTGAAGTTCAGTGTTTTTTCTTCCTAGTCAAAAATTGTCAAATGTGATGAACGTCCGTAGTTTTCATCGCTTATTCACACATTGATACTGTGATCATTACTGGTGGGATGAATCTTCAACTGGTTTGCCTCTCGCTGTCCGAACACCCGCTTAAAGTCCGTTTCAACTAAAAACCACTATTTTGATATCGACGATAAACTTGCTTAAGTAGATGACAATGGAAAACGATATCTTGGCAGCGCAAGTTTTCTACATCGAGTATCTCATTGCGCTAATTGATAGCAAACGATACACCCTCTGGTGCCAAAACAAACTTATTTTCGTGGTCGAACCGCCTACATCGATTAAAGCATATCTTTCCGATGCCTGCGGGTGGCCTACACTTACCGATGAACAATGATTTCATACGGGTTAAGAGGCACTAGTATAATCCATAATCCATTTAGAGTGCACGTAGATAACGGCTAAAATGTGCAAATTGTATGAGCTTGGGTTTTGTGTCAACTTGTCAATGACTTTGGCGCTGCCGTGTATGATTCGATCACATGTCAATATGACCAGTCAACTGCACACATGAGGAATATGGAGAAGTCAATTTAAGGATTAAGCTGTCTTTCATTTTCTTTTCGGGTAGAGCTTTAGAGAAATGCTGGGAAACTTACCACAAATGTCACCAGATATGACTCGGTTCAGAGTTTAGAGGATCTTTTGCATCGCATCACCTGCTTTCAAATTGCAACCTTCAATCAATCAGTATCATATCCAATTTAATGCTATTTTTATCCAACGGTTTCTACCGTATTTGCTTTTTTCAGCTCACACTTTCGGTCAGGTTTAGGTATTGGCGTTTTCGCAACATAACCAGGCACTGTTACATCCACCGTACTCGAGACACAGTCTACCTAGTCTAAAATCGGAGTTTGGAGTATTTATCGTTTGTCAACTATATTAAAGCAGTGCTTTTGCTACCAGGAGGTGGTGGTACGTTTTTAACTGACCATAAGTATGATCTCATGGGTTACTTTGATAGTCTACCTTCCCAAAGGTATATCTCTGTGCTACGTTCATTTAGGCAGTCGCGACGTGGCTGTTCATGAAATATCGAAGTTTGTACGATGTATGAACCACCTATAAATGATAGCCGCAACTAATCCCTGTTTCATCTCAAGCGCATATTGTACAAGGGCACATGTAGCAACGAATTTATGACGACCGTTTTACTTTGAATATCTGCCTCATCTTGATGTCCACGAAATAGACTTCATAGTTGAGCAACCTAGGAGAGGTTTGTAAGGGACAACGGACGGCTACTGGAAAGTGTCACACTTCGTTGCGTGACAGAATTTCAACTCCCATGCAGAAAACGCCTGCACATTCATTTGGTTACGTTAAGCGTATGAGAGCGGTAGATTGCCCAAACTCGGTGGATAGCTTTTCCTCACCATTTATATCGGGCTTTGCCTATATTTCCCAGAAGTTTTAATGGTTACAAACAAGTTCACTTTGTTTAGTGAACGGTTTTCTCGGCTGTATGAGTACAGTATCTTACTCTGATACACGTAGTGACCAAAATTTGAGTTCATACACACTTAGAAACAATTTGTGTGATTAGTGATCAAATATTCTTACCAATGCACACTTATCAATTCTGGCTATCAAGGTGTGCATTCCTGCCGAGATAGATAGTTGATCGGACGAATGAAACCGGGAAAATGTGTGGCGTTTCCTATTTAGACTTAAGCAAACGGCATGCTACAGAACCCACTACGCCTAAGTAAACATTGCTGAACATTAGATGGAACCGTATATAATCACGATTATTAGCTCGCTCAATGTCAGAGTCTTTACGATCCCGTCAGTCTGACTGATTCGTTTACTAATTGAATCTAATTCATACATGCTGATTAGTTGCTTTCATCACTTTCGTCAGTTCCAGTCACTTTGATGTAAGCTTTCTTGTATAGAATCAACCATGGTCTATAAAACCGTTGCGAGGATACATTAAGACATCCCGTCAAGAT